ACTATGAACAACTCATTTGCTCTTCACCTGTGGAGGGAGTGCCCTGTGTGGCTGTTGGAGCAGAGTGGGGACCGGGCCTGGCTGTCAGAGGGGATCAGCGTTGGGTGGTGTGGTCCTTGGCTCTGTTGTCTTCCTCTGCCCTCTGCCTTTCTCACACACTGCTCTAAAGAAGGGCAAGATCTGGCCAGTTGGAAAGACAGACCGACACATCAGTATGGGCATGAGAAGAATAATGGTGAACCTTTCCTAGGATCACCATCATTATGTTTTGTTAAGTAAAACATATGTATATATTTAAAGTTTTTGTATAGACAGAGTCTCACTATGTTACCCAAGCTGGTATGAAACTCCTGGCTTCAAGTAATCCTCCTGCCTTAGCCTCTCAGAGTGCTGGGATTATAGGTGTGAGCCACTGTACCCAGTCAAGGGAATATTTTTTAATGTAGGGGCCACCACATAAACCTGCCAGGAAGATAGGCTCCCACGCTTATGTTTAGTCACAGAACTTGCACTGTTTCTAATCGCAGCAAGCGGGTAATGAATGGTTTCCCCTGTTCTCCCCACACTCAGCTCTGCTGAAGAGATCTGCCCTTTTTCTTAGTGTGAGAAGGTTTGCCCTGGCCAGAACATGTCCTGGCCCTGAGAGGGAGGGACTGTGGATGGGCCTCTCCCTTTCTCTAACTCCTCTGCTGTCCTGTTTTACCTTGTGGTGCCCATTCCACATACTTGGGCCCTAGAGCGAGTGCATTTAATGGGCCACGTGCTTCCACGCAGGTGCTTAGTTGTTGCATATAAATAGCTGAGATCAGAGGCCTGCAGGTCTCCTGAACCCTGAGCCTTGGAGTAGAGCCCTTAGCTGGCCTTCTCACTCCTCCACTCGGTGGTCAGCTTTGCGAGCATTCTGGCCTCCATTGCCTCTTCCTTTTGCCTTTTTTCCGCACTTCACTTCTTGAAGGAATTGTTATGCTGCCGCTCTCTTTTGACCACACATTTGCTTCTTCACTTCATGCTCTGGGTTCCATCTCTCTTCCTGCTTTCCTGCAGTTTTGAATGCCATTCAGCAAGGTCTGATCCACTTCTGATGACCTTTCAGTGGGTCTCCTTCCCCTTGGATGCTCTGTGCTCTTTCACTGAATCACCATGTTCCTGATGGCTCTCTTGCTTTTTGACTTGTTCTCATCTGTAACTTTCCCTGTTCTTTGGCCTCTGCTTTCTCTAAGGTTCTTTTTTCTCCCTTTTGTTGGTCTTACCCAGTCTCATGATGACAGGTGGCATCACTTTGCAGGGAGTCCTCACCTTTGCCCTGATTGTGTACCCAGCCTCTTCCTCCTCCTCTTCCTCCCCTTCTCCTCCTTCCCTACTCTTCCTCTTTGTCTCTTGTGGCTCCCTGGCACTCCCACCTCCCAGGACATCACCATTTGGTGCCATCTTCAGCCCCCTCCACCCACTCACAGTTGCTAGAACCTCTTCCTTCTGTTTGCTCTCAGGCCTCCAGACTTTCCTGCCTTTGCTAGGTGCTTGCTGCCCATATCTTAGGTCACCTGGCCTCCACTTTGCCCTTTCTAAGGTTGTCCTCTTCAGGCAAAGCTTAGAAACTTCTGTTCAGAAATCTCCAATGGCTCCCTCCATGATCCTGTTCCTATTTTTCTACCTTGTTTCCCAGTGCTCAGCTGTTGTTTTGGGACCTTTGTTCTGGCCACACTGGATGCCTTCTGGTTTCTGTGCTTTTCCGTGCTCTGTTCGCACATCGCTAATTTATCTGCTTGGAATACTCCTCTTTTCCCCTAACTCTGCAGGACTAAATTCTACTTACTCGCCAAAGCCCGGCTCAGAAACCTCTTCCTTCCTTAGTCTCCACAGCTGGAGAGAATTTCCCTGGCCTAAAGACTCCAGAGCATGCTACTTTCTGTCTGAAGCACGAGAGGACTTTGCTGGCTCAGTCATTTCAGAGTGTACCCTTCCCCATGCCCTGCTAAGCTGCAGCTTTTTATTTGTAATTTTTTAGTTGTTTATTGTAAATATTTAAGATATACAACAAGAAGCTTATTTTTTTCTTTTGAGACAAGTTCTCACTTTGTCACCCAGGCTGGAGCACAGTGGGGTGATGATTGCTCATTATTACCACAAACTCTTTCTACCTCAGACTTCTGAGTAGTTGGGACTACAGGCATGCGCCACCACGAGTGACTCTTTTTTTTTTTTTTTTAAGAAGTTGGGAGGTTGTGTGGAAAAAGGCAAAAAAAGCAAAAACAAAATGAAACGAGGTGGGGGTCTCGCTGTGTTGCCCAGGCTGGTCTCAAACTCCTGGCCTGAAGCAATCTTCCTGCCTCGGCCTCCCTAAGCACTGGGATTACAGGTATTAGCCACAGTGCCTGGTCCAATATGATGCTTTGGTATACATAGTAGGTTGTTTACTACAGTCAAGTGAATTAATACATTCCTCTTCTCATATAGTTACTTTTTAAAAATTGTAACACCTGAATCTATTCTGTTGGCAGATTTCCAGCATACAAAACAATATTATGAACTATAGTCATTATGCTGTACTTCAGACTTATTCATCCTATATAACTACAACTCTGTATCCCATCACCAACATGCCCCCATTCTGCCCCCTTCCCCATTCCCAAGCCCTAGTCACCGTTTTCTTTTTCTTCATTTTGACTTTAGATTCTACATACAAGTAAGATCATATATATTTGTCTTTCTGTGTCTGGCTTATTTTATATAGCATAATGTCTAGATTTACCCATGTTGTTGCAAATGGCAGGATCTCTTAAGGCTGAACAATGTTCCATCATATGTACTGTGAATACCACAGTTTCTTTATTCGTTCAGTTGTCAGTGACACTTAGATTCTTCCCATATTTTGCCTATTATGGATAATGCTCCAATGAACATGGAAGCTCAGACATCTGTTCCACATACTGAATTTGTTTTCTTGGGTAGACAACCAGAGTGGGATTGCTGGGTGATATGGTAGTTCTGTTTGTAATTTTTTGAGGAACTTCCGTACTGTTTTCCATAATGGCTATACCAAGTTCACGGTTCTGCTATCAGTATACAAGGGTTCCCTTTTTTCCACCTTCATGCCAACATTTATCTCTCCTCTTTTTGATAGTAGCCATTCTAACAGGTGTGAGGTGATTTCTCATTATTTCGATTTGTATTTCCCTGATGTTTAGTGATGTTGAGCACCTTTGCCTATACCTGTTGGCCATTTTTATTTCTTCTTTGGAGAAATATCTATGCATGTTTTTTGCCCATTTTTAAATTGTTTTTATTTTGCTATTGAGTTGGGTGAGTTCCTTATATGTTTTAGATAGTGATCCTTTATTGAATATATGATTTGTAAATATTTTCTCGCAATTCATAGACTACCTTTTCTTTTCTTTTTTTGAGACCGGGTCTCACTCTGTCACCCAGGGTAGAGTGCAGTGGTGTGGTCCTGGCTTACTGCAGCCTCGACCTCCCAGGCTCAGGTGATCCTCCCACTTCAACATCTTGAGCAGTTGGGACTATAGGTGTGTGCCACCATGCCCCATTAACTTTTGTGTTTTTTGTAAAAAAAAAAAAAATTTTGCCATGTTGCCCAGGTAGGCCTTAAACTCTTGGGCTCAGGCTATCTACAGACCTGGCCTTGCAAAGTATTAGAATTACAGGCGTGAACCACCATGCCTGGCACATAGGCTACTTTTTTGTTTTGCTGATTGTTTCCTATCCTGTGCAGAAGCTTTTTAGTTTGGTGTAATGTCACTTGCTTATTTTGCTTTTGTTGCCTGAGCTTTTGGTGTGATATTAAAAAGTCATTGCCAAGGCCCATGTCAAGGAACTTATTCCCTATCTTTTCTTCTGGGAGTTTTATATGTTCAGGTCTTACATTTAAGCCGTTAATCCATTTTGAGTTGATTTTTTGTATATTGTATAAGATAAGGAGGCAATTTTATTCCCTTGCATGTGAATGTCCAGTTTTCCCAACACCATTTATTGAAGGAGCTCTCCTTTCCCCATGGTGTTTTCTTGGTACCCGTGTCATAAATTAGTTGACTTATATATGCTTAGGTTTATTTCTGGACTCTCTATTCTGTTCTGTGTATCTCTTTTTATGCCAGTGCTGTGCTGTTTTGATTTCTATAGCTTTGAAATCAGAAAATATGGTGCCTATGACTTTGTTCTTTCTCAAGTTACTTTGGTTTTTCAGGGTATTTTGTGATCCCAGATGAATTTTAGAATTTTTTTTTTCTATTTCTGGAAAAATGCCATTGGAATTTGTATAGGGATTGAATCTGTAGATTGCTTTGGGTAGTGTGGACATTTTAGCAATATTAATTCTTCCAATACATGAACATGGTATATCTTTTCATATATTTATTTGTGTCTTCTTTAATGTCTTTCATCAGTGTTTTACAATTTTCAGTATTAATTCCCTTAAATTTATTCCCAATAAATACTGTGTTGAATAGAAGTAGTGAGCAGGATTGTGTGGGTGGGAGGGGGGCGCGGGTTGCAGTTTTGTCCTGCAGAGGGGTACTGGGCTTAAACACTAAATGAGTGACTGGTAGAAGAGGGACTGGGTTGTCTGAGGCCCTGGGGCAGAGGACTGGGTCCAGGAAATGTAGCTGTGAGGGCTAACTGGAAGATAGCACTGTGAACAGACATACACACCAGGTGCATGTAGATCAGATTTTGAGAGGATTCGTTCCAGTACTTGGAACCACTATTAAAGTGACTGGCTACCTATAGGTCATTTCTATGTTAATTAAAATTTTTTCTTTTGCATTAAAGTGAATATTCAAGGACTCTTTGTTGGCATTCTGAAAGTCACTTTATATATCTGAAGGTAGCTAAATGGCTTAAAGTCTAAACTTTAGAGCAGGTTTCATTCAGTTCATTCAGTTTATTTATTTTTTCATTGTTCTAGAGGAAATTGCCAATTTAGAACTGGTGATTTTATGTGGAGTAAGTAACTACTATTAACAATAACTTCTTTGTTTCTACAGAGGTTGCAGAACTGGAAGCTAATTTACCTTGTAAGTATAGCATCCCCAAACACTAAGTACTATGAAATAATTGCATGAAGAAAACTTTTGATGTTTTAATAATCTTGTATAGCAAAAAGCCTGTTTTTCATGTTTGTTAGGAATGATTTTTAATTTTGTTTGAAAAGGTAGGACTTTTTCAAGTGTCTAATAAAAACAAGATGGGCCAGGTGTGATGACTTCGGCCGATAGTCTCAGCACTTCAGGAGGCTGAGGCAGCTGGATCACTTGAGGTCAGTAGTTTGAGACCAGCTTGGCCAACATGGTAAAACCCATCTCTACTAGTAAAGTACAAGAATTATCTGGGCATGATGGCATGTGCCTGTATTCCTAGTTATTCGAGAGGCTGAGGCAGGAGAATCACTTGAACCTGGGAGGCGGAGGTTGCAGTGAGCCAAGATCATGCTGCTGCACTCCAACCTGGGTGACAGAGTGAGACTCCATCTAAAAAAAAAAATTAGCTGGGCCTGGTCGTGCATGTCTGTACTCCCAGCTACTTCGGAGGTTGAGGCACTAGAGTTGCTTGAACCCAAGAGGTGGAAGTTGCAGTGAGCCAAGATCATGCCATTACACTCCAGCCTGGGTGACAGAATGAGACTCTGTCTTAAAAAAAAAAAAAAGAGTAAGGTTCTGCCATCTTTCTGAGTGCTTTCTATCTCTCCTGAGCATAGCAGAGGTGCGTTTGGTTAGGTTTTGTGCCTCTTGCACATGCATTCTGTCTCACATCCACTTTGAGTGGAAAAGTATATAAATCAGTAACAGTTTTATTTTTGTTAGGGATGATACCAGCTTTTTGGTAGAGTGCTCATTTGTAACTTGTCCGCATGTTTGAGGGTGGCTGTACTGCCTTGCCATCAGTGGGTATCCATCTTGCTTGATCATTTCTGCCCCAGACACCCAGGGCCAGCATGCAGTCTTCACTCATGAGCACGGTATACTCGGAAAGCCCCTTTATCAGATAGTTTACTTGGATAATATATGTCATATATTCTTTTTTTCCTCTATCATTAATCTTCTTCCAAACCCTTGATTATTTCAAAAGACAAAGTCTGAAAGCTTTGATCATTTCAGTAATTTTTGAATTACAACTTTTTATCATCATACTTGCTTTAAAATTAGTTCTGAGGCTGAGGCTGTCTGTGGATGATGGTGAAATATTTTATAAGTGAGTCTGCTGATTTGGGTGAGTGTTAGAGAGGATTTAGGTTTGGATGTGGAGGTATCTCTGACATGGGGCAGGACAGGGCCCATTCCAGCCTCCATCTGAAGTTGGAAAGATAATGGTGGGCTGCATCCTCTACATGGTTGTGAAGTCAGTTTGAGAGGGTAAGTATGTAATGTTTCTTAAAAAATTATTTTTGAGACAGTCTTGCTCTGTCACCCAGACTGGAGTGCAGTGGTGAGATCTCGGTTCGTTGCAGCCTCTGCCTTCTGAGTTCAAGCTATTCTTGCCCCTCAGCTTCCTGATGAGTAGCTGGGAACACAGGCACACACCACGCCAGGCTAATTTTTGTATTTTTAGCAGATTTGGATTTTTGCCCTTTTGGCCAGGCTGGTCTCAAACTCCTGGGCTCAAGTGATCCGCCTGCCTTGGCCTCCCAAACTGCTGGGATTGCAGGTGTGAGCCACCACACCAGCCAAAAGATTATTTTTAACATACAGAATTTATGGATAGGTATAGTGAGTTGTGATATAAAATATGTTCCTTACTGTGGATCTCAGTTTTGAAAGTCAGTGATTGCTTGATCTCAAAATTTTCTTCAACTTGGAAATGAGGCAGTATCTTGAGATTCTGTTAAGAGGTTATCTTTCTGGCTGGGTGCAGTGGCTCACACCTGTATTCCTAGCACTTTGGGAGGCTGAAGCAGGTGGATCATTTGAGGTCAGGAGTTTGAGACTAGCTTGACCAAAGTGGTGAAACCCATTCTTTACTAAAAGTACAAAAATTAGCCAGGCATGGTGGTGTGCACCTGTAATCCCAACTGCTCGTTAGGCTGAGGCAGGAGAATTGCTTAAACCTGGGAGGTCGAGGTTGCAGTGAGCCAAGATTGCTCCACTGCACTCCAGCCTGGGCGATGGAGTGAGACTCTGTCTCAAAAAAACGTTATCTTTCTACCCACTGAAGTATTTACAGACGAAGTGGTTTGCTTTAAAATGCTACAGGAAGACAAATAACTGTGGGGACAGGATAGACAAGCAAGATTGACAGAATGTTGAAGGCGGGGAATGGATTCATTATACTGCTCTCTTTTACTAACTCATTTTCCTAATAAGAATAAGATAAAATAATTCCTCTGCTTTCCACTTCCTTCTTATCTTCCCATAGGCCCCCAACTCGAGCCTGTATATACATGGAAACTTTTTTTTTTTTTTTTTTTGAGACAGGGTCTCTCTTTGTTGCCCAAGCTGGAGTACAATGGTATGAGTGCAGCTCACTGCAGCTTCAGCCTCCTGAGCTCAAGTGATCTTCCCACCTCAGCCTTTTGAGCAGCTGAGATCTCAGGTGCATGCCACCACACCTAATTTTTTTAAAATTGTTATTATTTTTTTGTAAAGATGGAAACTCTTGTGTTGCCCAGATGGTCTCAAACTCCTGGGCTCAAGTGATCCTCATGCCTCGGCCTCCCAGAGTGCTGAGATTATAGACATGAGCCACTGTGCATGGCTAACATATGTAGAAATTTAATTGAAACCACAGAAAAGGTTCCACTTATAAATGTTTCATTCATCCTAGATATGTGTCTTACAGAAATTGTTTGTTTTTAACCCACAGATTGTACTTTTAAAAGCAACACAATTTTATGACTGGCTTTCAAATCAGGATTGTAACTGCATCCCTTAGGTTTGAAGGAAGCATGGCACGTTTTCCTAGCCCTATCACTATGGTGTCAGATATTAAGACAGCATGCTCCCTGCCTCTTCTTTCATTCTTCTCCCTATCTTCTCTCCTAATCAAAGAGGGGGTAAGTTATATCAGTTTGTACAAGTAAGCCATGCTTTCCAAAAGTATATCTCATTATTCTAAAGAGAAAACAAGAAGCCACCAATGAATAACCCTTTACTACCTGTTTAATTATCTTCCTAAAATATTTACAAAGGCAAACAAAATAACTTGCCTTGTATCAGTGCCACTTAGTAACTATTCAGAACTAGTTTGGAGCTCTGTACATGCAAGTTTATAGAAGTTTCTCTGCAAAAAAAATTTAAAATGTTTCTTTTAGATAAACTGAAATATTACTAGAGGCTCAGATAGTGCATGCCTACATGTAGATAAAAAGTTTAATTCTAGTTTTAATAAAGCCCTCGCATTGAACTAGAACAAAAACCTGACTGTTAACATTTTTTTCTTAGAACTTAACCTTTTTTTTTGAAATGGAGTCTTGCTCTCTTGCCCAGGCTGGAGTGCAGTGGCTCAATCTTGGCTCACTGTGACCTCCACCTCTTGGATTCAAGTGATTCTCCTGCCTCAGCCTTCAGAGTAGCTGGGATTACAGGTACCTGCCATCATGCCCAGCTAATTTTTGTATTTTTAGTGGAGATGGGGTTTTGCCATGTTGGCCAGGCTAGTCTTCAACTTCTGACCTCAAGTGATCTGTCCACCTCAGCCTCCAAAAGTGCTGGGATTACAGGAATGAGCCACTGCCCTAGCATTGTTTTATTGCTTTTTAATCGACCTTGACAATTTCTTTATTCTTGGTGGGCCAGATTTTTTGGAGCTATTGGTTTCTGCATCTGTCTATTAAAACAAAGGAGAGTGCTAGGTATTAAAAACAAATACATGATGCCAACATCAACTAATTATTGAAACATTTCCCAAATCATATGTTTTTGTTACTTAGAACTCACTAGAAGGATGGCATTTATCTTTTCAACTTAAAATTAGGAAAAAATAAAGCCCATTTTAAGTATTTCACACAAAGTTCTAAGTGTATAATTTTTGGGAGAGTCTTGAACTCTTTGGCCCCAGTTTTTTTATTTCTGAAGTAAGGACTGTGACATTGTCACAGTCCCTCTAAGACTGCTTCTTGCTTTTCTAGGCAATTTTCACTCAAAAGGAAACCCCACTAACAGTCCTGTGTTACTTGTTGTTTGTATGTGCAGGTGTCCCATGTCTTAACATGTTACTAAGTACTGAAAGGAATGAAGCATGCAGTAGGGGAAGGGGTCATGAACTAGTTAATGTAGGGATTAGCTTTGCTTCTGCTGATAATCTGTGTGATCTTGAGCTAGTCACCAAACCTCTCTGGACCTTCCACTCATGTCTCCTAATTGAGGACATTGGGCTCGATGGTCTCTAAGGCCACCTCTGAGTAGAAATTTGAATTGTCCTGGTTTTGATGAAGATTTATATCATTGTGAAACTAACTATCCTTTTGGTGGAACTTGTAAGAAAACTTTAAAAAAAACATAAAAAGTCTTCTAAAAAAACTCAGAAAAATTAGAAAGACAAAATATCATAGCTCCCACTCTGGGTGGGAGCTAACTCCCGGGCAGCATTATTATTATTATTACTATTATTTCTCCTCCTTCTCCTCTTCCTCCTCCTCCTCCTCCTCCCTTCCTTCTTCTTCTTCTTCTTCCTCTTCCTTCTTCTTCTTCTTTCTTCTTCTTCTTTCTTCTTTTTTTTTTTTTTTTTTGAGACAGAGTCTTGCTCTGTCACCAGGCGCTAGGCTGGAGGACAGTGGCACAGTCTTGGCTCACTGCAACCTCTGCCTCCCGGGTTCAATCAATTCTCCTGCTTCAGCCTCCTGAGCAGCTGGGACTATAGGCGCATGCTACCGCGCCCAGCTAATTTTTGTATTTTTAGTAGAGATGGGGTTTCACCATGTTGGTCAGGCTGGTCTCAAATTACTGATTTTGTGAACCGCCCACCTCAGCCTCCCAGAGTATTGGGATTGGGACTACAGACATAAGCCACTGCGCCCAGCTGGTACCCTTCTATTGTTTTTTTTGAGATGGAGTTTCACTCTTGTTACCCAGGCTGGAGTGCAATGGCGCGATCTCGGCTCACCGTAACCTCCGCCTCCTGGGTTCAGGCAATTCTCCTGCCTCAGCCTCCCGAGTAGCTGGGATTACAGGCACACGCCACCATGCCAGATAAATTTTTGTATTTTTAGTGGAGATGGGGTTTCACCATGTTGACCAGGATGGTCTCGATCTCTTGACCTCATGATTCACCCGTCTCGGCCTCCCAAAGTGCTGGAATTACAGGCTTGAGCCACCATGCCCGGCCAGTACCCTTCTTTTTAACTTCCATTTGCTATGGTGACTATGAATGGCTGTGGTACTAGGAGAACATAGTAGAAGTTTGACCTGGATTCTTTCCTGGTTTTTCCATGTTTGGTTCACCAGCAGTGATGAACTGAGAAGTTTAGCATAGGCCTGTTGTGGTGGCCCATGCTTGTAATCCTAGCATTTTCAGGGTCCAACACGAGTAGGTCACTTGAACATGGGAGTTTGAGACCAGCTTGGGTACATGCTGAAAAACCTGTCTCTAGAAAAAATATAAAAATTAGCCAGGTGTGGTGGTGGCACCTGCAGTCCTTGCTACTCAGGAGGCTGAGATGGGAGGATCACCTGAGCCTGGGAGGCAAAGGTTGCAGTGAGCTGGAATCATGCCATTGTACTCCAGCCCAGGCAACAGAGTGAGACCCTGTCTAAAAAAATATTTTCTGATTTTATAGATATAGAAAATTTCTACATATATACTCCTTCCAGATTTCCTGGGTATTTTTTCCATGGGTAATTAGCCGTGTGTCATTTGTTTGAGGGAGATACGGGTGGGATGCAACCAACTTCCCTGGTCAGCACCAGCAGCCAGTGGTTCCCCTCCCAGGGAACACTTTGTCCTGCTTCAGGGCTCTTGTGATTTGGATCAGTGGGCATAGAACATTGCCATCTGGGTCAGTAGAACATTATTTTACCAATAAAGAAAGCTGATTTACCACTTAGGTGTAAAGGTATTTTTTTTTTTTTTTTTTTTTTTTTGAGATGGAGTTTCGCTGTTGTTACCCAGACTGGAGTGCAATGGCGCGATCTTGGTTAACTGCAACCTCCGCCTTCTGGGTTCAAGCAATTCTCCTGCCTCAGCCTCCCGAGTAGCTGGGACTACAGGCGCGCACCACCATGCCCAGCTAAGTTTTGTATTTTTAGTAGAGAAGGGGTTTCACCTCATTGACCAGGATGGCCTCGATCTCTTGACCTCATGATCCACCCGCCTCGGCCTCCCAAAGTGCTGGGATTATAGGCGTGAGCCACCGCACCCAGCCTTAAAGGTATTTTTTAAAAAGACAAAACATCATGGTAAACTCTGGGTGGGAGCTAACTCCTGGGCAGCATCCTTCTTTTTCTTCTTTTGAGATGGAGTTTTGCTCTTGTTGCCCAAGCTGGAATGCAGTGGTGCAGTCTTGATCTCAGCTCACTTCAGCCTCCCAGGTTGAGCCTTCCAGGTTCAAGCTATTCTCCTGCCTCAGTCTCCCAAGTAGCTGGGATTACAGGTGCATGCCACCATGTCCGGCTAATTTTTTTGTATTTTTAGTAGAAACGGGGTTTCACTATGTTAGCCAGGCTGGTCTTGAACTCCTGACCTCAAGTGATCCTCCTGCCTCGGCCTCCCAGAGTGCTGGGATTATAGGCATAAGGCACCGCACCTGACCAGCACCCTTCTTTTTAACTTCCATTTACCATGGTGACTGAATGTCTATGGTGCTAGGGGAACAGAGTTGACCTGGGTTCTTTCCTGGTTTTTTTGTTTTGTTTTGTTTAGTTAGTCTTTGCCTGCATATATTAATCTCCCTGAAATATGGTTTCTTTTTGTTAAAGTACAGTAGCATAATTCTTGAAATTAATGGAAAGATCTCTATATTTAGTGACCATTTAAAGGTTGAAGGAAAACATCTGCATTTGGAATTAACTAGTAAAAGACTATAAGGAGAAAAACACATGACAAAAACCACTGGTTTGCACTTTTAGAGTATTGGCACAATTATTATTAGACAAATAGGGAGGGAGAGCTACCAACTTCCGTAAGCCATATGAATTCCTCTAACACCACTAAATTTACATGTGTTCAAAGGTTTGCCTCATCATCTGGACTGCTGCTCACTGCCAGACCTTCCTGATGTGCTGTTTCTTTTGCAGGTACATGTAAAGTGCATTTTCCTGATCCAAACAAGCTTCATTGTTTTCAGCTAACAGTAACCCCAGGTAATATTCTTACATACTTAAGTATTAAAGTGATTTCAAACAGCAAATTGTAAAGGCTGCCCATACCTGTAATCTTTGCCTTGGTTTATCCTCTAGCTTTTAAGAAATTAACACATTAATAACCATTTCATGTGAAGATAAGATATATACTTAATAGTGAAGGAAAAAAGCATAAAGTGAATTCAAGGCATTCAGTGTACACTCTCAGTAATAATGTCTAAATGTAACTAAGGTTAACGACAGCTGAGGCGGTTGGTGTATGGTGAGGAGTGTGGGCTTAGAAGTCATAAGTGCGTTCCAATCCTGGAATAGTGTGACCTTGGTTAAAAGTTGCTTAACCTCTTAGCCACAGCCTGCCTATCTACAAAGTAGGGCTCAAATAGGACCTATCTCATAGGACAGTTGTGAGGGTTAAACAGATACTGTGGATAAAGCACTTCAGCCCAGGGTCTGGCACAAAGAAGCAGACAGAAAGGAGATTACCAGCTGTCCTCAGTAAGACTGATAGTGTCTAATCTCCAAGCTGCCCCAGCGTGGCAACATACTTCTTATTGGTCAAAGTGGGCAGCAAGAGGAAGACTTGTATATTTTCTAGTTACAGTGTGGCTCTAAGAGCTGCAGATTCCCACACTTCACAACCCACTGGTGTTTATGTTGGACGTGAGTGGCACCCAGTCGATGCTGCTGTGGGAAATTAAGAGGGAGGAGTGTTTTGTGGTAGAAATACAGGGTGTTGTATTTGGGGGTGGAAAGGTAGTGAGAAACTGAGAATTATTAGTCACCAGCTAACTAAAATGTGGAAACCAGTATAGGATTCTGGTAGGTGACAGTGAACCCATGAATAAGTCCTGGCCTTGTCTCTCTAGGTAGGATGGGCTTTTTCTGTGGAAGATGTTTGATAATAATAGCACAAGAAATCCTGGTTTCAAAATATCCTTGAAAACGTTAAGAAATTTCATTTTATCTATGCGATGGTTCCACAAAGGGCTCTGGGAGTATAAATTAGTTGACACTGATTCCTTTAAGACGAGGAGAGCACTTGGGTATAGTAGTTAATACTAGAACACCACCATTATGTATACATGTATTTCTTTTATTGTGTTTTCTGTTAGCTGTACCTTATGCCACATAAGAGCACCATCGTTAGAAAGTGGGGTGTTCCACATGCCTGACGGCTATAGATAAGTGTAGTGAAGGACTTTAAACTGTGAAATGATGAAAACTCTAACAATCCTTTAACTGCCTTCCTAAAACACATTGCATATTGTGCCGTTTTTGACGAGAGATATTGAGCACACTCTGATGCTTTCCTGGTGACCCAACTGTTATGGACGTCATTTACTATTCTGTTAAGTAATGTAGGGTATTCTCAGGAATTATTGTAGTGATTGAGATTGGTTCTCTGTTTACTAATTTCAGACTTGTGTGTTTATAGTAAAATATTTTCTTTCATCTGCTTTTCTAGGGCATTTTCAGTGGCTATTAGGGATTCTGTGCCTCTGCCCATTCCAAGCCTGGGCTTTGTGGTCCTTGGCCACTCAAAGATGTTTGTTGATTTTCCAGGTTCTTTACTGTTATATGATTGGGTTTCAGGCAAGTCTTGCCTCTGGATAAATGTTTCTTTTCCCCCCAGTTTTTTTTTCTTTTTAAGAGATGGGATTTCATCACCACGTTGGCCAGGATGGTCTCGATCTCCTGACCTCGTGATCTGCCTGCCTCGGCCTCCCAAAGTGCTGGGATTACAGGCGTGAGCCACCACACCCGGCCTTTTTTTTTTTTTTTTTTTTTTTTGAGACCAAGTCTCACTCTGCTGCCCAGGCTGAAGGGCAATGGTTCTTGGCTCACTGCAACCTCTGCCTTCTGGGTTCAAGTGATTCTCCTCAGCCTTCCAAGTAGCTGGGATTACAGGCATGTGTCACCACGCCCAGCTAATTTTTGTATTTTTAGTAGAGATGGGGTTTCACTGTGTTGGCCAGGCTGGCCTCAAACTCCTGACCTCAGGTAATTCGCTTGCCTCCGCTTCCCAAAGTGCTGAGATTACAGGCGTGAGCCACGGCACCCAGCCCACCTTATTTTTTACTGAATCACATTAACATTGTAATTATTGAGATTACATCTATGACAGCATCTTTGATGTTGGCCTTATAACTGTCCTTGAAAATGGAGCACAATTGTTATAGTTTTTGTATTCACTGTTCCATCAGATTAAAAAGTAACTTGTGGCCAGGCGCAGTTGGTTACTCCTGTAATCCCAGCACTCTGGGAGATCGAGGTGGGTGGATCACTTGGGGTCCAGAGTTTGAGACTAGCCTGACCAACATGGTGAAACCCTATTTTTACTAAATATACAAAAAAAAAATTAGCCAGGTGTGGTAAAGCACGTGCCTGTAATCCCAGCTACTCAGGAGGCTGAGGCAGGAGAGTCACTTGAACCAAGGAGGCAGAGGTTGCAGTAAGCTGAGATTGGCCTGCCTAACTCCACCCTGGGCTACAGAGTGAGACACTGTCTCAAAAAAATTTTTTTTAAATAAATAAAAAGTAACTTGTGTCTTGTTACTTGTAAATACTTAATGCCTTACCATTCATATTTTTAATAAGTGTACATCAGGGCCATTAACATTGAGCTGTGCACAGCGTGCTTTTAAAATACTGTGCATGTGCCCTTATTTTGTGATGTCTGTCAGTTGGAAAGCTGTGATGATGCCTGCCCTTTGATTATTAAGAGAAGTGGCCGGGCGCGGTGGCTCACGCCTGTAATCCCAGCACTTTGGGAAGCTGAGGCGGGTGGATCATGAGGTCAAGAGATCGAGACCATCCTGGTCAACATGGTGAAACCCCGTCTCTACTAAAAATACAAAAACTTATCTGGGCATGGTGGCACATGCCTGTAATCCCAGCTACTCAGGAGGCTGAGGCAGGAGGATTGCCTGAACCCAGGAGGCGGAGGTTGCAGTGAGCCGAGATCGTGCCGTTGCACTCCAGCCTGGGTAAGAAGAGCAAAACTCCGTCTCAAAAAAAAAAAAAAAAGAAAAGAGAGAAGTGTGGCTGGGATATCCCAACCCTAAACACTTGCTTCATATCATAGTTTTAAAAAACTTTTTTGGAATCATACTTCTCTTCATATTGAAAGCAAATTACAGTGATAGGCCTAAGTTGTGAAGTTTTAAAAATATATGAAATAAAATTATTTTGAAATGGACTTATTTGTAGCCAGTAGTCCTGGGGCTAGGGCTGAAAACAGTATTACCTATGATCTGGGGGTTCGAATCGTCAAGAGTGGAGGAATCGCATCTGCATTTCCAGCTCATACCTCTTTTATCTGTCTCCTGTTCACACTTGGTAACATTTTAGTAGTTTTATTGGTTTTTGGAATGGTTGCTCATGATTGGGAATAAATATACTCTTTAGAGAAAAAACATGGAAATTTAATTTGGTGGTGGGGAAAAGAAAGGGACTGAATTTTGAAAAAGAAGTGTCCACATTATCTCACAAAACAAGAAAATGTAATAATAAGTGAAATGAAACAAAACAAAAACTTAAAAGCCTGAAATCTCCCATGGAGTCTTCTGTGAAGTTAGTGGAACAGTTTGAAAAATTGGGTCTGTTCAGTAAGTGGCCTGGCTCACATGTAGGTGGAGGTCATCTCATCCTGCCCTGCTGTGATGGTGGTGATGGTTTTAGGCTGAAGGGAATGTGGCTTAAATAACATTGACAGTTTTTCAAAGTTTAATTTTAATTTTTTTAATCAGTTTTACTGAGGTATAAAATTATAAACAATAAAATGTACTAATTTGGAATGTATAGCCTACATTTGGAAAATGTATACACATATGTAGTAATAACTCCAAGATGAAAAACATTTCCATCATTCCCAAAGTTTCTTTCTGCCTCTTTGCAGCCAATTCCTTGCCCCCTACACCTCCATCTAAAATTCCTTTCTGATTTTTATTTCCGTAAATTAGTTTTGCTTGTTCTTGAATTTTTTTATGTGTAATTGGAATCTTATATATGTACTCTTTGTCTCTGGCTTCTTTCACTTAACATAGTTTTAAATTTATACATGTTATGTGAATCACTATTCCTTTTTTGGGGAATTTTAATGAATATGCCATAATTTGTTTATCTTCCTCGTGATAGACATTTGAGTAGTTTCTAGTTTTTAGCTAATATCAATAATCCAAAAGCTGTAAGCTTTGACTGCTGTGAGCTTTCTTTTATAAGTTTTTCATGTTCATAGATTTCCTTTCTCTTTAATTTGATCTAAGAGTGGAATTTCTGAGTCATAGGAAAGATAATGTGTTTAACTTTTGAAGAAACTTTCCGCTGTGGTTGTGCCATACCCTGACCAGCACTGTATGAGAGGTTTCCATTGTTCTGCACACATATCAACATTTGGGTGTGAAATAGCATATCATTGGGGTTTTTATTTGCATTTCCCAGTGACAAATGGTGTGGAGTATCTTCTCATATATTTACCGGCCATTTGTACATTGTCCATTCTGAAGTGCACCAGTCTTTTGGCCTAGAAAATCTTTTTGTTTTGTGCTGTGGTCTGGATACAAGTTCTTTGTCAGACACATGAGCTGCAAATACTTTCTCCTACTCTGTGACTTTCTACTCATTTTGTTGGCTGCTCCCTTTGTTGAGGAGAGTTTTTCTCTTTCAGGCAGTCTTGCTCTGTTGCTCCAGCTGGAGTGCAGTGGTACAACCTCAGCTCGCCAAGACCTCTGCCTCCTACTAGGTTCAAGCGATGCTCGTGCCTCAGCCTCCTGAGTAGCTGGGATACAGGTGTGTGGCACCATGCCCAACTAATTTTTGTAATTTTAGTAGAGATGGGGATTCACTGTGTTGGCCAGGCTGTTCTCGAACTCTTGTCTGAAGTGATCTGCCCACCCCGGCCTTCAAAGTGCTGAGATTACTGGCATGAGCTACCGCACCTGGCTGAAGTTTTAATTTTTATGGTGTGTAGTTTATCAGTTTTTTTTAATAGTTTGTGCCTT